GAAACTTGTGGAGCAATGCCCCTGAAGGCCACTAGAGATTCCCAGATCACAACAGCCACCCATCCTCCCCTGTTAGTTTGAAGGTGAAAGAGCAGTAAAACAGTAAGAATCCTTAAAAATACCTGAATAGATTTTTTTAATTTTTATTTTTTAAAGGCAAACTGCAAATAAATGAAATCTTCTCAAGGTACAGTATATGTTAAACTAAGAAGAAGACAGAAATATTGTTTTCTTAATAGGCTGAGAAAGTAACTTTGAGGGCTCTGTCATGTCCACTTAAGAAAAGGAAATTCTACAACATCCCCCAAAATTCCAATTTCTCCAGCTAACAAAATGCACTGTTGGGTAGAGCTTTTGAAAGCCATGCATAATCTGATCAATGCTGAAAGGTTCTACAAATATTTTTAAAATTGGTCTTGGCATCTTTGATACCCAACAATCACTTGACCTGACAGTACATACAACCACTAGCTTCCAAAGCAGACAATTCAAATATGAACTACTGAGTTGGTAACTAAGGATAGATAAATCATATGGGCATTTTAAGTAAGTTGGGCTTCTCCTACATTTTGAGGTCCAGCTCCTCAAAAAATAACCTTTTTATTGTTCTTTATTTAATGCAATAGAACAGCATCACTCTCCTTTACTGAATAGGTTTCAGAGACTGAAAGATGGATTGTTTTCCTTAGCCAGATGAATTCAGACCTTCAGTCTTGTTCAGAAGGAATCAGATCCTTAACATAAGCTCAGAACAGCTTAACCTTCTTTTCAAGGCAAGTTAAAGAATATCTGAAGTCATACTTTATAAATTTGGCAAAAGCTGTCAAATGGGCCATTCTCTGTCTTCCAAGGCATTCCAGGACAGATACTATGTGACTGAACGTTAGCTTTCCATTGTCAATATCTTGATTTTATGATTATTGGATAGATTTTTTTTACATTTTATGTTTGCCTCTAGTGCAGCTTAAGAGGCAAGGTTTCTCTTGGTTATTACAATGTTTGTTTAGCTTTCAAATTTTGATGCAGTTATAACCTTCTAATTTCATGGCACAATCCACAAGGACTATACATTCTCTCTGTCTCCTTTTACTGGTTTTTTATTGAGGACCATGGAATGGAAGAAAAATATGATTGTACATTATAATGTGACTACATTCTATGATCCACAAAACAATTATAATAATATTAATACAAGGTACAAGATATGTGGGAATACTTAACATCAGGTAAACCAATCAATAGCATGCATGGGATTAAATGTAACTTAGGAGTAGTAAATTTGAAATCATTCATTGCTTGCAGGTGGCTGAAGAATAGGGCTGTGCCATGAACTGGATCCAAAGAGAAAAGGTGATTCAGAAAGAGCATTTGTACAAGCTCCAAATCACCATTTCCCCTTAGAATGTAGATCAATGTACACCTCTGCTGAAGAACATCTGTCCTGGCTTGACTATGTAATACTAGTTTAAATGTTCGTTTAAAGTACCCTCAGGAAAGAGTGAGCACAACTAGGAGAAATGCACATAGCTAAGAAACAGAAAACAAACATTGCTGTTATCTATATTATTTTAGAGGCTTTCCAGAAAGATATTATTCGAGGAAACTGCCTCTTCCCAATTATGTCAACCCATCTCATTAGGTCCAGGAGGAGAGGCATGGTCCAGGTGTTATGGGTGCCATCTGGTGGAACACAGGAAGAGAGCATTTTCTGTTACGGTGCCTGCCCTCTGGAACATCATCCCCTGTCAGGCCTAGCCCAAAGAACTCCTGGAGACCATGCAGGTTCAATCAGCAAGGTTTATTTGCCAGCACCTGTTTACAGAAAT